TACCGCTGGCGTCTGTGTGAATCTCAGTGGGCGTCAGAGGATTGAAGTGTCGAAGAATCGGATGAGACGCCAAAAGAAACTTCAACTCCGAAAAAGCAGACTCGCATTCCGGGGTCCAGTCAAACTGCGCACCTTTCTGAAGCAGACACCTGAGCGGATATGCGATATTGGCAAAGCCAGGAATGAATCGGCGAAAGTATGAACAAATCCCCAAAAAGCTGTGCAGTTCTTTCACCGAGTTTGGTTGCTTAAATGCCTCCATTGAGGCCGTCTTGGCGGGATCCGGTCGTATGCCTTCTTTGTTTACTAAGTGTCCAAGGACGAGTGTTTGGCGCTCCCCAAAACGACATTTCTTTGAATTGAGCACCAAGCGTGCTTCGCTTAGGCAGTCCAGTACGAGGCCAAGGCGGGTGTTGTGCTCACAAAAAGTGCGCCAAAAGTTACAACGTCATCCAAGTAACACATACCCACTTCCCAGTTCAATCCACGCCGAATGTTGTCCATAAATCGCTCAAAAGTTGCGGGCGCGTTGCAGAGTCCGAACGGCATCACATTGAATTCAAATAGTCCATCTGTTGTAACAAATGTCGTTTTCTCCTTGTCTTCCTCGTGCATTGGAATTTGCCAGTTGCCTGACCTCAGATCCACAGACGAAAAGTAAGAGGCCGATGATAGACAGTCGATAGCATCATTAATCCGCGGGAGTGGGTATACGTCTTTTTTAGTGATGGCGTTGAGACGGCGGTAGTCAACAAAAAATCGCCATGTGCCATCCTTCTTCTTCACTAGAATCACCGGAGCAGTCCACGGACTTCATGATTCTTAATTTACAATTTGCTTGAGCATCTCGCATACCTGTTCATTGATTACTGCACGTTCCGAAGGCGATACACGATATGGTTTCTGTCGGAGAGGTCTGTGAGATGTCGTGTCAATTCGGTGCTTTGTACGAGAAGCAGGGAATGACGGTGAATCATGCTGAGCAAAATAAAAAATTCCGGTATGTTTGTGCAGAATACTCGCCAGTTCATTACGTTCCTTGGTGCTGAGTGACTTATCAATCATAGCCATAATGGTGGTGTCCCTGGCGTGCAGATTGGCACAACGGGTCTTATCCGGGGAATCATTACTTTCTGCAAGGATGGCAAGCGAGAATACTTGATGTTCACGAATCTCTGCAAGTTTCAGACCCTCCGGCAGCACTGTAGGTTCATTAGAGCAGTTAAGCACCCGTAAACCATTATGCCATTGCGCAACCAATAGCGTGCAGTAGGGTATTAAAGCTGTCTTCTTTATGCAACTGAGATACACGGGCTCCACAGTTGCGTCAAATGTTTTCTTGCTTGCAGGTGAACAGACAACAGGGACACATTTTGCAGACAACGGCGGCACAGTTGTGTCCACAGACACGCAAAGAGCACTTTCTCGAGAGGGCGAGTTCTCCATAAACGCAACTGGGATATCGTAATCTACTGTAAATTGTCCTGTGCGGCAATCGACAGTAGCACCACCTAGCTTGAAGAAATCGAGTCCCAGAATGATGTCATGCGCAGTATGAGGGAGAACAGCAAACTCTGCGACAAAGTTCTGGCACGCCAAACTAACAGTCACTGTGCAGACACCAACAGGTTGTAACACCTCTCCGCTCACTCCAGGAAACGTATCAGGACGGTCCCAACGAAACATAACCTTTCGTCCAAGAAGGCGGGTGAAAACTAAACTCATTACTGACACAGTTGCACCTGTGTCCACCAACGCCATTGTTGGTGCACCATCAATAAAGCACTCGAACCTTATTTCTAAACATAGAAGCTAACGGAGGTATATCTGTTGAAATCGAAGACTGTCCGGCGACCTCACCTCCAATGGCCGCGCCGGCTAATTTTCCTTAGGAGGCGAGGAGTGGCGGCACCGAGGAGACGGTGATCGGTTGGCGCGAGGGGCAGGTAGTGGTGTCACACTGCGGTCAGAGGCCAGAGATTGGTTTCGTAGCAGTCCTGGGATCTCGTAAGACGAGCTTCCCGGGAAGGTCGGTGCTCGGGTAACGCCAGAACGGTTAAATCTCGGTGATCGGTCGTACCTTGGCGGCTGCCGGTCGTTGCAATACCTGGCAATGTGTCCTCCGAAGCCACAGTTGTAGCAGACTGGTAGAGGACGCTCGCCGAACCAATGCTGAGACCACTCAGCTGTGAAGGGTCGGTGACGAGCTTGCTGAGCGGGGGCTGCCCACCTCTGTGAGGTGGGGCCGTGACGAAAGCGTTGGCCATATCGCTAGTCGGTCGCGAATGAGTCTCAACATGGCCGCGGATTTCCAGTTTCGCTGATGTCTGCCATACGTACCGATGGTGGCAAAGGAGCTAATGGCGCCGCCGTGTAGTAGGGTGGATTGATAGGTGGATGCGGAATGGTTTCGTCAACCCTACCACCTTATCGCTGCAGCTCTTCACGCACAATTTCCCGAATATTAGCGGAGAGGTCGGTGGGTGGGCTCACGTCAACGCTGGCGACCGTTGTCACATTTGCCAGCCTACCAAATTTCGGGGCGATGCGACGAGTCTTCAGTTTTTCAAACGTGCGGCAGTGATGTTGGACATCGGAGGCAGAGGTGAGGTCATCCCTGCCTATCAGAAAATTGTAGACGTCTTCCGCTATGCCTTTCAAGAGGTGTCCGACCCTATCTTTTTCAGACATCTGCGGGTTTATAATCTTGCAAAGCTTAGGAACGTCCTCTATATAAGCAATGCAGGTTTCTCCAGGAGTCTGGGCTCTTCCAGCAAGAGTGCGCTCCGCGCTTTTCTTTTTTGAGTCGGAATCACCAAAACACGTCTTCAGTTCTTGAGCAAAAAGAGCCCATGTTGTCAAGGACTCTTCGTGGTTTCCATACCACATCAGGGCAGTGTCCGTGAGAAACAGCACGACGTTTTCCAGCTGATCGATAGAGTTCCAGTGGTTGTACCGGCTCACCCTTTTGTAGTGCGTTAGCCACGCGTCCACATCTTCTCCTGCCATTCCCGCGAACGGGCGGAGTTCCTTGTAGTGATGCCTAGGTGTAGACAGCGTAGACCTGTGTGAATTCGAGGCGGTTGATTCCTGACCTTTGCTCTGGGCCATGACGACTGTTGTCGGCGGCAGACCGTCAAGACGACGGCTCCGGCGAACTCCGAGCAGCTGTGGCTCCGTGGTACGTCGACGTGCCGTACCCAGCCCCTCCACCACTTTGTTACGTCTACGAGAGGGGTTTATTCAGAGCCGACGTAACAGTCGACTTGACGGTATACAGCAGTGAACGCGCAGCAGCGCGCTCTTGCTACCAACCGAACCTCCTCTTCTTCTGCCACCGCCATGTTCCCCGCTACACAGGTGCACATATCTAAATTACACATGTGGTAACAATATCATTGTACCTTCCACACCGCTCACAGCATGTAGAACTTGTGGGGCACGGATCTTCCTCAAGAAAAGTTAATTTCGGTGTACCTCAAGGAAACGTCCTAGGCCCATTTTATTTCGTTTGTATATAAGGACGTTGTCAGCATTGATAAGGCGGTAAATTATGCCGTCTGGGCTGGTGATGCCCGCCGCAATAGTCTAGTGGCTAAGGTACTCAGCTGCTCACCTGCAGGTCGCGGGATCAAATCCCGGCTGCGGCGGCTTCATTTTCGATGGAAGCGAAAATGGTGAGGCCCGTGTGCCCAGATCTGGGTGCACGTTAAAGAACCCCAGGTGATCGAAATTTTCGGAGCACTCCACTACGGCGTCTCTCATAAGTATATGGTGGTTTTGGGACGTTAAACCCCACATACCAATATATGAGCTAGTGATACGACCAGTTTCTTCGCAGGTCACTCCGCTCGAACGTTGGCGCGCCATGCCAACGGCACTTTTGAGTAGGTTCATCAATAGTCCAAAGATATTCATCTAGGGTTGAATATTGCAAAAGAAAAGCCTCGATGTTTCACCTTTGTGATAAAGAATGTCTTACGTATCCGCTTTTATTAATGGTGCATCAATTGAATACGTGCACACTTTTTAAGCCATAGGCATATATATTCCGCAACAATGTCATGGGATGCGCACGTTGGCTTCCAGGATAAAAACTTCCTTGTACCACGGCCGCTGAAAGAAAAAGCGTCCGCTTTCTCATCCAGCGGCTGTGCTCGTACAATAGGGCTTTTTAAAGTGAAGCAGTGAAACATTGCCGGTTACAGTAACTCTACTCTCTTAAAACTCATTTTTCTCTCATACTCTCAACTATGGTACTATTGTGTGGGACAAAACTACAAATGCAAATATTATTAAAAGATTGCTATTACAAAAACGAATTATTAGACTAACTTACAAGGTGTCCTACCATCACTGTTAAACCAGTTGCCGAAAACAAATGGCGTCAATAATGGAAAGTTACTAATGAAAGAACTAAGTAAGTGAAATGGGAAACAAATAAGTGAATGAGTAAAAGAAATAAGTGAAAATGTTCTTAATTTTAGGACCCTTATTTGTATAAACGTTTTCAAGGTTCGCAAAGGTTTACCTTGTTTTGTTGTTGTTTTTTATGCTTTTTTCAGCTTGGCAAAGCTATTTAAGACTTGGGCTTTTTTTTCTACGCTGTTATACCAACGTTTGACAGTCTCCGCTGATACGGCTCAGAAACTTTTCTTTACCTTGCAATCTCTCTGACCTTATTGGTCCTACTCAATGCCTGTTGCTGTCCTACCCAGGCGGGGCTGTGGCCTCGTCAAGCTACTCACTATTGTAGCTTTTTGTGAAAGCTGCTGTTTTCCTTTCTTCGAAAGATGAATAAACTTCATTTGCTTTGAATTTAGCAAATTGATGAGTTCTTTATGCAAAGAATTGAAGTTTTTTAGTTCAAGCTGTTAACATTCAATTTGTTTCTTTAGACCCTCAGGCGTTGAACAAAATGTTCGCCCACAGTATGTCAAATTAAAACGAATAGATCAGTACATAATGTAAAGATCAAACCAAAAACGAGCCGATTGACGTGCGCCATATCAATACAAATGATTTAATAGAGTAATGGGGTTTAGGCAGTTACTTATGCAAAACTAACGACCATCATTTATTAGTGAAGCGGTATTGTTCAATACAGAATGTTCGTAAGAAGGCTTTGACACTTTCTAGAGCCGTATCTGCTGTATGTCGCTCCATTGTAACCTAACTCAACATGTGAGAACGTTAGTGGTAAGTTATTAACTCAAAGAAAAACCAGCATTATAGAATAAAAATTGATATACATGGCATCTTGAATGTGGTTTTTCTACTAAAGTAATAATAAAACTTCTAAACACGGAGTTTTCTGTCAAAATATTAATTTGTTTTTACATGCGAGCTTGTTTAGTTTTCAGCTATGAACGTCTCTGTTAAGTCTAGAAAATTTACAACATTGCCAGAAGTCAAACAAGTATAGAAGAGGGAGTTAGCGAGAGATAGCGTTAAGACTCGGATATATTCACATATTTATCCCGCCAGTCACCTCAAGCGCAGCTCCTGTTATGTAAGAGCTGGCCATGGGTGAGCATAGAAACTTGATGGCCTCAGCAATCTCGCGAGGATGAGCAGACCTCTTGAGCGCTGACATAGAGCACGCAGCGGCCTTATGCTCCTTGGACAAAGGCGCTGCCATAGGTGTATCAGTCCATCCAGGGAGCACAGCGTTGCAGCGGATACCGAAAGCAGCTAGTTCCTGTGCCGCCGACTTGGTGAGCGCAATGACGCCAGCTTTCGAAGCGGAATGAGCCGAGGTGTTAATTCAGCCGCCCTTGGCTGCAATACTGGATACATGGACGATCGAAGCACCTCCAGTGGGTAACTCCTTTACTGCGCGAATCATGTCACGGCTTGCGGCCCTTGTGACCAAAAATGCACCCTGCAAAAATAGCAAACAAGGTTGTGTCTTCGTTCGTGCACATCTGTTCTGCTACTGCGACGTTAGAAGACACTAAAGGTAGCGATGCAAAAAGAGGTGGCGAGGGTTGCTACGTCTCAGGACCAGGCGTGCTTTTTTAACGCAAATGCGTCTGGCTCACATTCAGTCAAGAAGAATTGTTTGTTGGTTTTTGTGGCCACGAGAACATTATAAATAAAATTGTCAAATGAAAAATATTTATATGAGTCGTTTTGTAAGGCACACCACCACCGACGAGGTGATGTCGAATGGTTACGATAACCCACATTTCTTCTCTCCCCTCTCTGCCTCCTGCTCGCTTCATTATCGTTGAATTCTAGGAAGCGTCAAGGACACCCAAGGATCGAATGTTCACGGCATCAGGACAGTGATTTCATGCTGCGTGAAGTCCGAGCTTTATCACGCCGTCGGAAGCATGAAATTACGCTTTGTGTTTATGACCTTTTCTGGTTTCAGTAATGGAAGATACTTGGTTGGATGTTAACAAGGTGATATACTGTGTGAAGTTGACAGCCCTATTTTTCGTGCCACCCAGTTTAGGATATCATGAATGCTTAGAAAACAGGGGTTGTTCTGGTAGCCAATAGGCGTTACTTTTTGCCTTTTTTTCGAGCAAGATTCGTAAACGAGCATTCAGGTTTACATTTCACTCTAAACGTGCTCCTTTTCGAATAATTATTATTCACTAAACGGCCACTGAGCTGGTATGTTGCATAGCAGTATACGTTACCTTAAGATTGATCCTCATGATGTCGTCAAACAGTTCATCTGTGCAATCGACGAGAGGAACTGAGGCATAAATGCCGGCGCTGTTGACAACAATACTGTGAGGCAGTGAGGATGCACCGCGAATGCTGTTGAAGAGTGACTCAACAGATGAAGAGTCACTGATATTCACTTGGAACGCCAAATGTTGTGCCACGCCTGCGCAGAAATGTTTAGAGGCTCTCACTTCACGATAACCAGCTACGGATAAATGGCTTAATTTATACTGAGAGCGAAATATCAGCTATTTTTTCTACAACAATACAGTGAAGGAAATAAAAGACGTCCTCTCATACTTTTCCAGTGAACTACCTCAATCAGACTTTTATAGCTCAACAATAGTGCACTTGGGTAATTTTTGATATTCATTTTACTGCAATGGACGTTTACCGGCAGCAATTACTAAAACAAATGCAGAGGTAGAATCACGAACATTTAGCTAGCCAAATATATATAAGCCACACGGTGTTTTTGCGATACTGTGGAAAACGGGCGCCATCTTCACTTTTGAACGCATATTGTGCCACAATGGTAGTCTCACAAAAAAGTATAGTGAAGCCCAACCCATCAAAGTTAACGCACACCAGCAGGCAGGAGTCGGGCGAAGATGGAAGTCTGTGATGAACCATTCCAAAACTGGGAGTCTACTGAAGCTGACGCCTTTTTCAAAGTGGCAACTGAACAAGCATGCTAAAAGAATAACTGGTCGTTTGCTTGTTGTATAAAATGCATGCGAGATGAGACGTGGCATAATGTATCGACTTTTTGGCAAAATCTTTGTTGTACCCTTGAAAGAGACAAGTCAGTTTGTCAAAACGTTGGTAGCAGCACACCAGCTATTTGCTAATTTTCTATCACCAAACTGCAGGTGAGCCGAAATTGGCTGATGGCCACAGTATCATTAGACATGAGGTAAGTCACTCGAAGATTCATGTAATGATCATGCAGAATAACCTTTTTTTGTCGCGAAAATTTTTGAGGGAATTTCTTCGCAAAGGACCACAATATTATGAAGCACGTACGCAAGTTATTCCTTTTTGGGCTATAGTGCCGAGCTAAGGCTTTTGCCCACGTGAGGCGTCGGCCACTGTGCTCATCTTGGGTCATGATAGCTGGAATAGAGTGCAGATTCAGGGAGTATTTCCAATTTTCCGAAATATTTATGCGCTCTGCCGTACGTATTGTGCGATTGATGTGTAGTCGGGCAAGAAGCTGGAGACCTGACAGTGTCTGGGGCAACCTGCTATATTGGTATGTAGACTGCCCCTCCCCTAGCTTCGTGAAGGTCTTCACCGTTTCCAGGCCCAGAAGGCACTGGTTGGAGGTGCTCATCAGAAGGTCATGGGCCCGCTTGTTGGTTTTACAGAGAGTGATCTCAAGTCACTTCTTCTAGAACTTGCGTAGGTGGAGGTATAGAACCGAGAGCAGGACTCGGCTGGTTACAAATTCATGCACCAGCCGCAAGGTATTTTTGCATCGTAACCATCCGCGCTATCTGAAAACCAGTGGACCATTCGGCCCACCTGGTCCCCTACCTTACTCAATTTGACCAATATTGTGTCGGCTCTGCGATTTTTTTGTATGAAAAGCCCCAGTACTCTGACCTCGTCCCATTCAGTATGAGTCCATTGTGATTTGAGAGGTCAATTTAGCTGATGTGGTTTGCCGATGGCTGTATGTGCACAGATTCCGATTTAGATGGTGAGCACTGCAGGTCGCAGCGACGGGCGTAGTCGTTCGCGATGTCCACGGCTTGCTGCAAGTTGGCCTTTATGTGTCCTGCCGAGTCGCGTGACGTCCATGTAGTGATTTCGTCGACATAAAAAAATATGCTGTATGCCTTAGACTTTCGCCAGGAGAGCGGAAAGTCTTAGCATTGCCAGGTTGAATAGGAAAGGTGAGAGGGCCGCTCCCTGCGGGGTCCCTCTCGTGTCCAATCGGTAAGGGCAGTGTTGAGCGTCTTGTGTACGGATGTATGATGGTTTCTCAGTTAGAAATTGCTTAATGGAGTTGAAGACGTTTTGACCGCACTACACTTGCGAGAGATGTGTTAGAATAATGCCGTGGGTCACATTATCAAAGGCTCCCTTCAAATCAAGAGCGAGAGCAACTTTGTCCTTTTGGTGATACTCGACGTGATAGAGGCTCTCATGATGGAGTTCGAGCAAAACATCCTGTGCGGACTAGTGAGACACGCCGCGTAGATAGAGTATTACCACAAATTCGGCTCCTTCACTGAATGGCCAGCGAAGTTGACATAGATCGCAGCGGCTCTCTTGGGATGATGAGACCTCTTCGAGAAAGCCTACCTTAGTCAATCGCTGAGCTTGGTGTGAGAATTTCGCTGCCACATGATGTGAGCAAGATCTAATTAGGGCGTTTTTCAATGCAGACAGCACAATGAAGCGTTTGACGAGTTTGGTAAGGTGAGAAGTGAATGAAAGAAGGCCCTTCTCCGAGTGGGGCGCACACTGCCAGCACGTGTGCACGGCCCCGAAATACAACTTGAGGTCGAGAAACGGGCATGTGCGCATGCGCTAGAAAGGCCACCTTCGCCCCATGTTCTTGCCCTTTCTATAGCACGTAAATTTTTGCATTGAAAAAGTAAACTCTTAATGACATGCTTTGGCCGCAGGTAAGGGAAACACAAAGTGAAGGAACCCACAACGACAAGCACAAGCGGCTGTATCCACTTGTGCTTATCGTTGTGTGTTCCTTCACTTTGTGTGTTTGTGTTATGTGCAGCCGAAGCATGCAATTGAGCAAGTGCCAACTAGGCCAACAATAAGTATTATTAAAAAGCAAACCCAACTAGTGCTCAGTGATAGTCCTGTCTGATCATGCTCGTCCTCATTCTTTCGCGCTCTTTTTTCGCTATAAACATGTGGCAACAAGCTCATCCAGTTCGAACGCTCGTCTTATTCTTCCAGCGCCACGATGACCATTACTAATCATTATCAGCAAAAAAGGCAACAAATGCGCTTGGCTTAAGGAATAAAAAACACGTATCTTGATGTGAAAAGAGAGGAAGCAAGCGCGAAGTAGAGAAACAGGAGAAAATGAGAAAAAAGTGGAAAGAGAGAAATGAGATTATTTGGGGTTTTACGTGCCAGGTCCCCAAATTGAATCCTGGCTTCAGCGCGTGAATTTTGATGGAGGCGAAAATGCTGTTCGCTCATGTGTTCAGATTTGGGTGCACGGTAAAGAAGCCCAGGTGGTCACAATTTGAGGAACCGTCCAAAAAGAAAACAGAAGAAAAACAAGGAAGCTGCCTGACTGTGTCATTCTTTCAGACTTATTACCACACTTAGCACGAAGCTACCTCAATTTTCTACCCCCTCTCAGCTGATATATGATGATTATGTTTCATGGCTGTTCCTCCTCTCTTAACAAAATATTTCGTTTCATGGTACTGAAGCTTTCAAGAGCTCTTTGCCGCTTCTTACCGCCAACGTAGGCATAAAACTTTGCGAACTTTGCATTTCAACGCATCAGAAAGAGAACTGGTTGTCTCCGATTTCTTCTTATATGCTAGGACTACGATCACTCTTCTAAAAATATATGCATTTATGCTTTCAGAGCCAAATTTCATATGGTGTTCGCACTGACGATTTCCTCCAAAAGAAAGAGAATGGTTGTTGTAATTTTCTAAGGTATGTGGACAAAAACCTGTAAATATTGCGACCTATGGTTACGCACACAACAGAATGAAACAGGCAAAAATTTTAAGAACCTATCTTAATCGCCACTTCGCAATCAGCATTCCTTTTTCCACTATATTTTTACCACCATGTTGATCACCGTCAAAATATTTGCATAAAATCTTAGCCAACCTACCCATTCTACCCCTCTTCATCCTGTAGATGCCTAGGTTACAGCCGCCTTATTGACAAAGAGAAATAATTGATCATTAGTCATACAGAAAAATAATCGTCATTGATTTCTCCTCAATGACTTCAGGCAGCATTGCATAACCAGCTCCACTATCGTTTAGTATGCACCAATATTTCGTGATATCCGAAACGTGGCTGCACCCAGACATTCTTGATTTTGAAATTGTTCCTTCTTCATACTGCCTACTTCGGTCAGATCGTGACGGTCGCGGGGGCGGGGTCGCCATTGCAATAAAACGTGGTTTGCAATATCGTAGAGAAAAGGGTATCGCGAATCACGAAAGCGTTTGGTGCACAATATTTGCTCACGATGCTCCAGTACTGATCGGTGGCATCTATAGAAAGCCAAATGCGTCTGATGATTACCTTTTACAAATACATGACTATCTGGTTGATAAGGTTACCCCCCGTACCAAATTGATACTTACTGGAGATTTCAATCTCGCTATTGACTGGGAAAACTTAACAAGTACTAGAAATACCGCCAACAGCGAGCTATTATACGATTTAATGTTCAATTTTTCATTGTCCAAGTTGGTCCAGGAACCAACCCGAATTCAAGGAAACACTCGCTCCATACTAGACCTAGCTTTTCTTTCCGATAAGCTATCCGGTAAAACCACTGTAGAAGATGGAATATCTGACCACAAAATGTTAATCATAACTTTTAACCTTGAATGCTTAAATACCAAACCCGATGGCACAAATTCACGGATAGCCGTGAAAGACTACACCAGAGCTAATGATGTTTGTGTTATTGATTACCTCGACACAGCACTAGAGACTTTTTCTCTAGAGGAATGTGAGGGTGTTAATGGTATGTGGATTCAACTGAAAAATATAATTACGTACTGTGAACAAAATTTTATCCCAACGAAACTAAAACGCACACAAAGAAAAACACCATGGATCAATCGCCGTATTATTCACCTTAAAAGAAGGGTACAGAGAATGCGTAAGAAAAAGAAGAATCCAATCATCTTAAAGGAACTTGCATCTCAGCTTAAGGCGGATATTAGAAATGCAAGACAAACTTTTTTTTCACATACGTTATCTCGCTTCATGACGGATCAGCCGCAAAAATTTTGGCGTTTCTTGGCACGGCCTGTAAACCCAACAACTGAAGTAGAAATTGAAGGTACTATCGTAAAGAACGCGCAGACCGTTTCCAATGCTTTCAATAGGTATTTTCAGTCGGTATTTACACGCGCATGCGCACCAAGCAGCCCTGTTGCTCCAATGCATCCTTTTTTGATGCCCGATGTCGTTGTCACTACGGAAGGTATTCTGAACCTGCTGTTGCAGATCGATGTTAAGAAATCAGTGGGTCCTGACAATATTTCAAATGTATTCCTTCGACGTTACGCAGAGCAACTATGTCCCTTCCTGGAAGCAATTTTTAAAGCATCCCTGCTAACAGCTTCTTTACCTGCCGACTGGTTGTGTGCAAAAGTTATTCCAATTCATAAAGGCGGGAGCAAGCTGTCCATAGAAACATTCAGGCCTATCTCGCTAACTAGCTGCTGCTGTAAATTATTGGAACATGTAATCAACAAGGCAATCATTACTTATTTAGAAGACAACAACTTATTGCACCCAAACCAACACGGATTCCGTAAAAACCTGTCTACCGTTACTCAACTCTTGGAAATAACGCATGACTTCGTAACTACTATTAACTCACAATTGCAAACCGACTCCATATTTATAGACTTCGCCAAAGCTTTTGATAAGGTGCCTCACAGTAAATTGATTGACAAACTTGTGTCTATTGGTATTAACAGTAACATAATAGCATGGATAAAAATGTATCTATCAAATCGAAGCCAGTATGTAACCATAAACAACACAGCCTCTGATTCATTGGAAGTTTTTTCCGGAGTACCACAAGGTTCTGTTTTAGGACCCACCTTGTTCCTAATATATGTTAATGATATATATATATGTGCCTTGAGCCTAACGTTAAAATGAGATTATTCGCTGACGACTGCGTGATCTACACCACTATCCGCACAACTGATGACCAGCTTAGACTTAATACCACACTAGCTAATATTGCATGTTGGTGTCTTGAGTGGGGAATGGAAATTAACGTGTCAAAAACAGCTTGCCTTAGCATAACTCGCAGAAAAACAATCCAGCATTTTAGTTACAATTTGGTCGGCACAAACATTGCAAGAAACGACGCTGTTAAATACTTGGGCGTTACCTTTACAAGTAAACTGAAGTGGGATGCACATATAAGCAGCACATACACAAAAGCCTATCGCCAGCTGGGGTTCCTGCGTCGAAAACTTGCATTGGCGCCTCCTAATGTAAAGATGATAGCATATAAATCTCTCATAAGGCCGATCCTCGAGTACGCCAGCATTGTTTGGAACCCCCACCAAAAATATCTTTCCGACAAATTAGAAATGGTCCAACGCAAGGCCCTTCACTTTATCTATTCTAAGTATTCGAGGCATGACAGTGTCACTGAGCTGCGCAGGCGGGCATGCTTGCCGACCCTTGCAGCCCGTCGCCGTGTCTCTTCCTTAAAGTTTATTTTTCTTTTGTATCACAACGGTTTAAACATAGATAAAGACAACTATATAAAGCCGCCTAACCATCACTCCCGTCGTACCAACCACAATTAGTGCATTAGACCATTTATGTCACGCTGTGACACTTTTAAATATTCATTCTTCCCGTCAGCAGTGGAAGAGTGGAACAAATTGCCACGTGAATGCGTTAATCATTCCTCTGTAGATTCATTTGTTCGGAATGTAGAAAGCCTGTTTTATGAAGACTAAAGAAACTTTTGTTTTTTTATGTTTGTGAGCGCTTCCTCTGTAGATTCATTTGTTCGGAATGTATAAAGCCTGTTTTATGAAGACTAAAAGCAACTTTTGTTTTTTTTATGTTTGTGAGCGCTTCCGAACACACTGATCACAGTACCTCCTGCTGATACCTTGATGGTTTGTGACCTGTACATGATTTTGTACAATTGCTTTCATCGTACAAGTTTTATTTTCACTATCATCTTGTGATTCTGTTTCTTCCGCTATGTGCGATATTGCCTGGTTTGTACGCGACTGTGTATATTTGCTCGCCCACCCTGTATGAGCCTGAGAAAGGCTTACAGTATTAAATAAATAAATAAAAAAATAAATAAAATTTCGCTCTTTGTAATTTTGTGCCTTTACAAATTAATATTGTGGAACACGGTGTAGCATAAAAGCTTTTCACTAATGTTTTGTGACACTGTTGAAACAGTGCCTTTTGCGCCCGGTTTTTTTTTGTGACCACAGTGACCATGGCAAGTGACTTCAAAAGAACAAGTCCATTGAACACTAAAATCCTCGCATGTATCTCATTTGCTTGACTCTGCACAACATCAATCAGCATGCTCTACCCTGAAAAAGAAGTACTTCGGAGAGAAGAAAGCGACAACGTCATCAAACTCTTTGATGGGAAACACCAGGGAGGCGGATGGTAGGCCACTTACCTGGCAGTGACTCGGCCACTTTCCTGGCGACATCGAGACGCCTGCCGGCAACGATCACCGTGGCTCCTTCAACGGCGAGCGCGTGGCACACAGCCTCGCCGATGCCACTGGTGCCACCTGTCACTAAGGCAAGGCGCCCGCAGAGAGTCATTACAGCCATCCTGATAGCAAGCTACTCCCTATGGAGAAAAATAACATCCGTTACATATACCAGCCGAGCCACTGTGAAAGAACATTGATTAAAGGTCACGCTATTTATAATTCAGAATGCCTAACCAATTGAAATACCGTTTCGCGAGCAATGCGTAGCCAGCCGTCGGCACGCGTCCACTTCTTTAGTTGTACAAGCACAAAAAAGACGCGTCTAAGGCATTCCTATAATACGTACAAGAGCTCCCTTTTTACGTCAAGCCAGTGAAGGGCACGGCAATCATTTTGAAGTAGAGCTGACGGGTCGTTGTTGTATCGGTTCGTTCACTGTCCTTCAGACATAACAATGGAAAATGTCGATGTGATAACTTTTTGAACAGGAGGATTCAAGAGCCCATGGATCACACCTGTTGAGTGCATTCTTTGTATTACTTTTTGCAAGGCTGTCTTTATATCTATAGATAAGGCCATGGTGTAAAATAAAGCATTATTTGGGTCTCTTTCGTTCCTTTTTATTTTTGTTCTTTCCCTTTTCCCTGGACAGGAAAAGCCAAGCAAGGGGCATGTCTGGCTTGTTATTCATTCAAGATGTAAGTGCCCGACAATGGCAACTGGCACGATGCCAGTGCAATGACATCGATAATACCAGTCTTTGCCCTTTTTGCTGCGTGTGTAAATCCTGCTTGAGGCTTTGACTGCGAGATTTTCGAAATCCTACTCGCTAAGGCCACTTGTACATGGATGACTGGCTCATGAGCTGAGACACAGCATACAGATCGGCGAGAACAGAAAGTAAACAAGCAACGACTTCTACAATCGTAATATTTCAAGGGTGGTGGTCTTGTATAACAAGTACGCTAAAAAACTAAGCTATGCCATTACGGTGTTTGTAGATTCAATATTTGTTAATGTTGATGTGTTAGATTTCTCAAAACAAGTTCATTATAAATAAAAATTTTTATGTTGATATTGGAGGTTTCTATCTAATTCAAGCAAATATTTTCTCCAAAAATACTAGAAGAGTATAGGGCTAATAAAAATAATGTTTAATGCCCAGCAAAGCCAAATAAAGAACAATTACTGCTATAATAAATAAACCACTAATTGGAAACAAAAAACAGTAATTCATATCTTGCTTGGAGACTCAAACTGTTACAATTAGAAAACAATTGTTAGTAATCAATAATTAAATGTGTACATTCACGTGTTTCCAGCGTATTTTACCACCTTCGCTGCTTACCTTTACTAGACAGCAGCTATTACAGCTTGTAACTTCTGGCTTTACTAATCAGAGAATCTCAGCATTTCCAACCAAGCAACTACTAAGCAATCTACGTTTCCAGATCTATCGTAGCTGTCGCAGTATATTTTGCCGTAATTCTGACACTCATAAGAGAACATTATTCTAAGCAAGGTATTTTTATTCACTACCTTGGTATAGACGTTTCGTGTTATGTCATGGCACACATATAAGCAAATATAATGGCACAGGATGATGTGTAGAAAACATCAATTATTATCTAAATTACATGGCTGCTAACCAGTACACAGTGAACGATCCCAAAGTAGGGATATATATATTCATGAAGCAAATTCTTTCTTTTTGAGGTGCACGTTTGAGGGCGCTTATTCTCGTGACTTTGCAATTTGTTGCTATAGCATTCACTCTTTCGCCCTTGTGGCCAAACAATGAACAATAAACGCTCACCTACCACTGTAAAAACACGTTTTACTTTTGTGTTATAGTGCATCAAAAAGAGATTGATCAGTCACAAACCAAGTTCGACCTCAAGGAATTCTGTCGCCACGCTGCTAAGAACACCTCACCGCTTTACTGCTACTTGCTTATATACTGCGGCAGCTCCGATAGATCTGGAAACGTAGATTGCTTAGTAGTTGCTTGGTTGGAAATGCTGAGATTCTCTGATTAGTAAAGCCAGAAGTATTACTGCTATATTAAATAGACCACTAATTGGAAACAAAAAACAGTAATTCATATCTTGCTTGGAGACTCAAACTGTTACAATTAGAAAACAATTGTTAGTAATCAATAAGTAAATGTGTACATTCACGTGTTTCCAGCGTATTTTATTTTTTTTATTTTATTTTTAAGGAGCTGTCGCAGTATAGTGACGCGATCACCGCTCACGGTGACCGCGTCACTAGTTTTGTAGCAGACGTATGTCCCAATCTTTCATGTCATCCGCAGGATGCCACATGCACCAATGCGGCCTTACGCTCCCGGATCGCCCCAAGTATAAAAACTGAGCAATCAGCTGTGATATGCCGCCCGATGGCTTCATATCGCGACATATTCGACATTGACAGCCGACCACTCGGCAAAATTTTATTCGTAAAGTACCGCAATAACACCAGCGATTTGTTTCCCATTCATCGCCGACCGCACCGAGTGTCTGCCACCGAGAGTAAGGTAATACAGCAAGAAGTCACCAAGATGAAAGCCAAAGTAACTAATGAACCCTCTTTGAGCCCGTGGGCGTCCTCTGTTGTGCTTGTGAAAAAAAAAAGATGAGACGTGCCGCTTCTGCGTTGATTACCTCCATCTGAATAGAGTCACGAAAATGGACGTTTACCCTTTTCCCCGCAATATTGAGGTGCTCGATTGTCTCCGCGGCACCCAATTTTTTTCTTCAGTAGACCTACGTTTCGGCAATTGGCAGATTGCTGTCGACGAAAAATACCAAGAGGAGACCACATTTGTAAGTTCCGGCGACTTATACAGGTTATCCCGTTTCTGCTATGCAACGCAAAGCCATGTTGGAGCGCATGATGGACTTTCTGCAATAAGGGTTCAAATGGTCAACATGCCTTTGTTACCTGGACGGTGTTCTTTTACGTCCGCCAACATTGGAGACCCACCTTCAGCGTTTGTCAGTTATTCTTGACATCTCCCGCAATGCTGGCTTTTAATTAGGCTCGTCGAAATATCACTTCGGACGCCGGCAGATTAGTGTTCGGCCACTTTGTCGACGCATCAGGCGTGCAGCCAGACCTGAAGAAAATTCGCGAAGTCAGGAGCTTCCCTGTACGTCAGTCAGTCAAAGATGTCCGAAGTTTTGTTGGACCTTGTTCTTATTTTACAAGGTTCGTGAAAATTTTGGCAACCATCGGTCGACCCCTCGCTGACCTTGTCAAGCAAGATGTGAAATTTCCGCGGAGTACCACTCAAGATGCCGCTTTTTCTCACCTCCTCACACACCCGACGAGTCAACTTAAATTTCCTCACTTATCTGCTCCAACAGAAGTCCAAATTGATGCTAGTGGTCACGGGATCAGAACCGTTCTAGCTTAACGCCAACGGGAACATGACCGAGTTATACCTATACACAACAAATGCCCCAAAAATGGTGTGACAATAAATACATGGCAGCAGATTTTAAATGTACAGTACGCAAAGCAAAAGTTGACTATGACACTAATGAATTCAGCTATCTTTCAAAATAGAACCATAAAAAAGCAATTTTAGATTTTGCGTTCCAGAAAAACAATACCGCCTTCATACAATTTTGAATATCCAATGCTATTGCCCCGCGAACTCACCAGATAATTGGAATATAATGATAGAAGATTAGAAGATAGATTCAGACCAATAATGCCAAAACACATAGTAAAGCCAATTGGAGGGGAGGATTTCAATGAAGTGACATTAGTGGAACTAGCGGATGTAGTGAGGCACTTAACTCCTGCGCAACTGTAACAGATGGAGTAATCTCAGCAATGATAAAAGCACTATACGACAGTTCCCCATATGAACTCCGTAATATGGTAAATTACTCTTGGAAAAATTCTTGAATACCCACGGATTGGAAACTTTCCAAAATAATTCCGATGCTTAAAAACAGGGACTTGGGTTTACCCGTGAACACGTAAAACCAATCTTTATTTCATATACTTTGGTTAAACTAATTGGAATAGTTTCGAATACTCTTATAATAAAATACATTGAGGAGAAGTCAATACTGAATCCGAGTGAAATTGGCTTTAGATTGGGATGCTCCATCTGGTGTGCGCACGTGGATTTGAAGAGTTGTATACAGTTTGCTCGGCGTACAACAGAGTATTGTGTAGTATTCACTATAGGTTTGGCCAAAGCATACGACAAAGTGGAGCATAAAATACTAATACAGCACATGAAGATGTATTGCTCACGAAACTACATGACCGCATGGTAGCAGATGTCTTACGGAGAGAAAGTAATAATGCTTTCAAAGGGATTGCTTTTCCAACACATGTCAGCAGGATCGGGGCGTACCACAGGGGGCAGTGCTCTCAGAAGTGTTGTTCAACATCTTCCTCAGCTCGATTCCAACACATAGCGATAGTCATATATATGTGTGAGCAGATCATATTTTCTTCTTTGCAACAAATAGTAATCTGCAATTACTTCATTAGTGATTACAGAATTACATAAATATGATAGAGGAATGGTATAAAAAGATTCTAATGTTTTTAAATGTGAACAAAAGCGCGCTTCTCACATTCTCATTCAAGGATCCTGTCAACATCTCCTTGATGTTTGACACAGAGCTGATTCCCCAGGTAAATTCACTTAAATACTTAGGCATTATATATAACAGCTCGTTAAATTGAAGAAGACTCGATTGACCAAATTGGGACCAAGGCAACACGTACCATAAAGTGGTTACGCAAGCTCAGCAGTAGAAAAATGGGGTTGCGAAGAATTACATTGGCAATGATCATAATGTACATGCCGCTTATCATGGGATTCAGCTCTGCGTTATTTTATGACAGTTCTCCTTATAAAATGAGACCACTAATACTGTTAGAAAGCGAAACTTTACAATTGTGCCTTGGACTACCCAAGTTTGTGGCTGACAATGTGCTCTACATGGAAGCGCGTCTTCCTTCATGGTTAAATAGATTCAAAATACATGTAATCTAGACATTTTGGAAACTATACACTTCACCCCACAGACAATCGTTTTATGGTTTATTAAAAAAAGCCGACCTTATGCTTGGAAACTCAGTGGTCGCGACTTCACTCCAC